GTAGATAGCCAGGGGAAGTTTCGGCAGAGTCTGCGAGCCTGCAAGTAAGGTAACCGGGTTTAGGGTTTAGGGTTTAGAGGGTTTTAGGGTTTAGGGTTTAGGGTTTAGGGTTTAGGGGACACAGACGACATTCTCAAGCATGATGAAAAAGCATAGACTAAAAGCATGACTATATACATTTTTCATGCATTATAGAAATATATATATATATATACATTTATTTATTTATTTATTTATCATGTGCCGGTGTTCAGTCGTCAAGGTAAGGGCGTTCCAGATGACACTTTTTCAAGAGAGAGAGAGAGAGAAACAAACAAACAATAGAATAAAAGAGAGAGAAAGAGAGAGAAACAAAGAGAGACAGAGAGAGATAGAGAGTGAGAGAGAGAGAGAGAGTGCATGAATCGGAGTTTACCCATAGTGGGATTGGTTCGTAGCTGTTTAGACGGTTCGGAAGTTCAGCATGCAATCAACAACGATGAACGGAGTCCTTCTCATAAGCCTGTTTGCACGGGGTGGAGGTTGAGGCTCATAGGGGTGTAGAGTTTGAGGTTAAGTAGCTGAGTAGTGGAGAGGTTGCGGAGTATGGGGGTGGGCATTACCTGTATAGTCTGGCCATGTTTTGCAGATCTGCCGGCAACGCTCTGGTGTGGTAGGTTCCGTTTTCACCCTGTTGCTGTTGCACCGTCCAGACCCCCAAGGGGGGGCGACGTAGCCGAGTCAGTACAGCGGGCATTTACAACAGCGGTGGCGAAAGAAGACGTGCCTGGGGGCCGGGGGGGGGCGGGGGGTTGGGGGTTCCCATCCCAAGCTCTACAATCTACAAGAAACCCTAACCAAAACCAAACCCTCAAGCACTCGGCAAAACAGAGACCTTGCACCCCATTTTTACACATGGGTACAAGCGTTTGAAATACGGCCACTCTAGAGATGTCATGCAGAAAGAGGCATGTATCATGAAGCCCCATTGGTAAGCCCCACATATCCCAAACTCCAATGTCTGAGGCGGATGAGTTCTCCGGCAATGCTCTGCTGGAGCCTGATGCCAGACGAGGTGGTGGTCTTGATCCTCGAGGCCACCCCTCCCCCCGCCGCCCCTAGCCCCCAAACCCCATACCCCAAACCCCAAACCCCAAACCCCAAACCCCAAACCCTAAACCCTGTAGCCCAACCCTAAACTCCGCCTCAAAGCCGAAACCTCAATCCGGAAGAAAACCCCTGTAAACCCTAAGCGAATGACTCTAGCAAGACTGACAGCTGTTTATTTTCCCTCCCCTCTTTCCCACGACGTGTCTTTGCAGAGTGGCGCGCTGCCCAAAGGGACCCTAAACATCCCTAAGCCCTAAAAGCCCAAAAACCCTCAGCCCACTAGGCTTGGACCCTAAACCCTAAACCCTAAACCCTGAACCCTAAACCCTAAACCCTAAACCCTATCAACCCGACAATAGGCCCGAATCTCTCAAGCTGCGGCTCATGTTGAACTCTAAGACCGGCTCTGAAAAGGGATCTAGGGCTGGGGGTTTAGGGTTTGGGGGTTTAGGGTTTAGGGTTTAGGGTTCAGGGTTTAGGGTTTTGGGTTTAGGGTTTAGGGTTTAGGGTTTAGGGCTTAGGGTTTAGGGTTTCGGGTTTAGGGTTTAGGGATAGGGTCAAGGTTTTGGGTTTAGGATTTCGGCCTGCTCGTTTGGGGGTTTCGGGCCTGTGTCAACTAGGGGCCAGTCAGAAATGAACCCTAATGCGCCCACCAGAATGCCACTTCATGCATCACAACGTTCTGGAATCTACGACAGTCTACTATTACACGATACATGATCTACCTTCTGATGTACAATAATTATTATACGATACATGATAGACCATGTGATGTACAACAATCTACTTTTATCCCATAAATGGTCGAGAATGGGCTTAGGGTTTAGGGTTTAGGGTTTAGGGTTTAGGGTTTAGGGCCCGATATATGTAGCAGAGGCTCTTGCGAGCCGAGCGGATTCGCGCGCCACGACCCGGCGCTGCCAGATGCTCGCCAGGGGACCCAGGAAGTCCCTTCGGGGCTTGCAGGTTTTGGGGTTTTTTACAGGTTTCGTGGGTACACATAAGTCATAAGTAGGGTGATAAATGCCCTAAATGGGGTTATAACCATAGTTTCCCTACGTATAACCCTACTTATAAGTACCATGGACCTCCAAGTACGGGGTTCAGGGCTTCAATTAAAAAGCACTTTTGAACTGTTTCGGAAACAAGATAATTGGAGGCTTCGGCTTTTTGACACCAATAGGAGGGTCATCATCGCCCTCTTCTTGGGGATCTCTGCGTTGCGTAGGGCGGCCAGCGAGGAGATTCCAGACACTTGTGCTCAGTCTCTGAGAGCAGTCCCTAGCCTGAGTTGAGGGTTTAGGGTTGAGGCTTTAGGGTGGTGCTGTCATCCCAGATCAGATGACATGCCAAAACCCTAAGGCCCTAAACCCTCAACCCTGCTCAGGTCGATTTGAACTGCCCTATGCGACGGATTCGTCCACCATCAGGGAAGGCGTCAACAAGGGAGCCCAGCTGTCTTGCCTTGTTAGGGGTTTAGGGGTTTTTTTGATAGGGTTTAGGGTTTAGGGTCTAGGTTTTAGGGTTTATAGGGTTTAGGGCTTAGGGTTTAGGGTTTGGGGTTTAGGGTTTAGGGTTTGGGGCTGCAATAAGAGGGTGTAGGCCTCAGTAGAGACCTTGGATGTTCTAGTGGGCTTGTGGTGTGGGTTTCATGGGTAAGGGTATCTCATGGGCTTGGCCAAGAACTATTGGCCTTGTTCCTGGAGACCAGCAAAGGGGTTTAGGGTTTAGGGTTTGGGTTTAGGGTTTTAGGGTTTAGGGTTTCATCAACGCTTCATAGGGATCAAAGTAAGGACCCAGGGACCCCAGGAATCTTGTCGCGCCCCAAAGTGTCTGTTTGAGCCCGGCTAGACCTCAAGAGCATATCACCCCTCCTTCCCGAGAATATTCCACCCCCCTTGAAGGTAATCACCACACTCTCACCCTTATCCCTAAACCCTAAACCCTAAACCCTAAACCTTAAACCCTCAGCAGTGCACACCTTGGCAGTTCTTCATCGTGGACTTCGAGGTCAACTACGACATGGCAAAGTACTTGTATTGTGCAGCCCTCGTGAGGATACCGAAATCTCGTTAGTTAGGGTTTAGGGTTTAGGGTTTAGGGTTTAGGGTTTAGGGTTTAGGGTTTAGGGTTTAGGGTTTAGGGTTTAGGGTTTAGGGTTTAGGGTTCAAAAAAGGTTTAGGGTTTAGGGTTTAGGGTTGAGGGTTTAGGGTTTAGGGTTTAGGGTTCAGGGTTCAGGGTTTAGGGTTTAGGGTTTAGGGTTTAGGGACACGGGACGAGACAAGCCCTTGCCCTGCAACTGTTGCTCTACTTGGAGGTTCATGGGTGCATTAAACTAGGGATTTAAGTAGGGTAGCTATGGGTATAGCCTTATTCAGGGGTACTTGGAACCCTACTTAAAAGCACCCAAGAACCTCCAAGCATGAGTCATGTGAGAGTCCATGGCGTCGGGGTGTGGTTGTCGACTTGGAGAGAGAGCGACAGGGAGGCAGGGTTCAGAGTAAGGCCACCCTAAACCCCATAATCCTAGAAACCCTATAAACCCTAAACCCCAAACCCGAAACCCTAAACCCTGAACCCTAAACCCCAAACCCTAAACCCTGAACCCTAAACCCCAAACCCTATAAACCCTAAACCCCAAACCCTAAACCCCAAACCCTAAACCCTATAAACCCTGAGTCGGCTCAAGATCTGGTAGCAGAAGGGGAGGGAGGGGGGGGGGGGGGGCCCCCTCGGAGTCCCGCGTGATGTGGATGTTGCTCTTCAGATTCCCTGACAAAACCCTAGAACCCTATGAACCCTATGAACCCTAAACCCTCTAAACCCTAAAACCCTCTAAACCCTAAACCCTCCAAACCCTCCAAACCCTCAAACCCTCTAAACCCTGTACCCTAAACCCTAAACCCTAAACCTCTAACCCTAAACGCCACACTGCGGCCTTGTTGGCTGCGCGCCCTGTGGCCAAGCCACGCGGGCCGGCAGAATGGGCACTTGCAGCAGCCACTGACCTGGAAAGGGAGACCTTTGGGGTTTAGGGTTTAGGGTTTAGGGTTTAGGGTTTTGGGAGCTAAGCTGCTAGTGCTGAGGAGGCCTTCACGCTTGAAGCCCCTGACATACAACTTGCAAGCCTCAGCTCGGGGGGCATTCGGAAGCCATCTTTTCGGGGGGTTTAGGTGTTTATGGGGTTTATGGTTACAAGGGTTTAGGCTTCAACCCAGGCCAGACAAGCCAAGCTTTGTTAGGGTTTAGGGTTTAGGGTTTAGGGTTTAGGGTTTAGGGTTTAGGGTTTCGGGAATAGTTTGCGTGGACCTTGGGGTATCAATCATCTGTGTGGTGATGTCCAAATGGAGAGTGGCGTTGAAGTGCCATGCCAGGAAAGGCGTCCCAGAACCTTTAGAACCCACAGCAAAAGGGCCCCTGACCATACTAAGCATGTGCATGGGAGCTTTAGCTGAAGCTACGCCGCTGATAATCCAGATCTCGGGCCCTCCTATTATGACATTTAGGGTTTAGGGTTTAGTGTTTAGGGTTTAGGGTTTTTAGTCTACCGACATGGTGAACCAAAGACCTTCAGCTCCGGCCACAGCAGAGCTGCGGTGCAGACGCCGATGTAGCAGAGAACGACATTCACTGATTTGAGATAGCCCTCTCAAGTACTCGTCCATATGATTGGGGTTTAGGGTTTAGGGTTCAGGGTTCAGCGTTCAGGGTTTAGGGTTTAGTGTTTAGCCCTCTCAAGCACTCGCCATATGAAGCCTAAGTAGCTGAGTGAGTACACTTTACACTTCTTGGGATACGCTAACCCCTACAAACCTGAAAGTCAACACCTTGTTTTTTGGGGGGTTATGAACTCAGCAACCAAGAAGCAAACAGATCTCTTGTGCAGTAGAGCTCGGTTGTCCTTTGGAGCC